GTCCTCTACATTTGTAGGTTTCTACAACAGGCAGTTGCTGTCTATTTGAAACTTAGCTTCATTAAAGTTTTTTGTTTGAGTTTTATAATGTGTTAACTATACAGGTGTAATTGAAAATAATTTTTAAAATTGCTAAAATTTGCGAGATACATAATCGCTTATTACAAAATATCTATGTTTCAAGGAAATAAACAAAGTAAACTATAGAGGTCATATATATAAAACTATAGAAGCCATATACATAAACTATAGAGGCCATATATATAAACTATAGAAGCCATATATATAAACTATAGAGGCCATATATATATAAACTATAGAAGCCATATATATAAACTATAGAGGCCATATATATAAACTATAGAAGCCATATATATATAAACTATAGAAGCCATATATATATATAAACTATAGAGGCCATATATATAAACTGTAGAAGTCATATATATATAAACTATAGAAGCCATATATATATAAACTATAGAGGCCATATATATAAACTATAAAAGCCATATTTCTATTACAACGAACTAAGCCATTATCAAAGTCGAATACGGAATTAGTTTATATTTTGATTAATAATTATGATTTATATATATTTGTTGAGTTAAGTTAAACTCAAGAACTGGTAAGTAGAACAGAATATGTTGTAAGTGTGTTCAGTAAAACGAAGCAGTCAGGATTCAATAATATAGTGATGTAGCGGCAACAATTTATAAATAGTAATTTTGAAGAAAGTAGGAAAAATAAATAACGAAGAAAACACCAAAATATATACATATATTGTACAATAACTAATAAAAATAATTAATTACTACTACTTATTAATTAGTAACATTGTAGCTTTTGATATGCAGCCATGATACAAACAGCTTCACTAAATATGGTATATAGTACTATATACGAGATTGCTGTTTGGTTGATTTTAGCGCAAAGCTACATAATAGGCTATCTGCGTTCTGACCACCTCGGGGAATTGAACCCAAAATTTTAGCGTTGTCAGTCCGTAAGCTTACCGCTGACCCACTGCAGACATATATATGTATATGAGATAGACAGAGATCTTCATTGTGGAACGGTTAAGAGAAATCACTAAAGCGATACACATTCTAGTGTTTTAGCTGAATATCGTACAACGCTAGCATTCAACCATATATTCTCCTTTAACACACAAAATCCTATTTGGATTCGAAATACACTGAATCCATTTTGATTCAAAAGTTACTTCCCGAACTAAATCGCAACCACATGTGGAATTTATTTCAATCAAATGAAATGTTTTATTATATATTGTCCTTTACTGTTTCATTATCTTTTTTGTTGTTGTGTGCAAGCGCACTACATATTTATTTGCCTTCCAAGCCTAATTGTCCGTTGTGTTTTAGGCATTGCTGTAACTCATACGTGCTCTCTCGATGAAAGTGACTAGGTAAAACGTTGAGAAAATACAACACATTAAACAATTATTTTTGTGGATATAAGTAGGCCACGTATGGCCAAGTGGTTTGCGTGCCTAGACCATTAATTCGATTTACGGTTCGCTACCAATTTACACAAAAAGTACTCCGATTGTGGGTGCGTTATAAGTGTAACGGTCAAATCCAGCTATTCGTTAAGACAAAATTAGACAAAGACTTAGCACTTCCCCTTATTGTGCTTACATTCACCCAAACCAGATTATTGTATATAAATTATAAAGTTACTAAACTTATTAGCTTATTGCTCCTTTTTATATTCAGTTACAACTTACCGAAGTAATAACATAAACACCAGAAATCGAAACTTATTTCAGTATTCTTTTCTATTCCGATATAAAACGTACACAGATACATATATATTCGTAATTAACGCATTTTGAAATACTGTTTTTCTTTTTGCGTAGGACTGTGGTCAGTCATTCAACGGCGGAAGTTTTTTCGACCATGAGGGACTGCCATATTGTGAGACTCATTACCACGCCAAGCGAGGTTCACTTTGTGCTGGGTGCCACAAACCAATTACAGGTCGCTGTATTACAGCTATGTTTCGCAAGTTCCACCCGGAACATTTCGTGTGTTCGTTCTGTCTGAAGCAACTGAACAAGGGAACATTCAAGGAACAGAATGATAAGCCTTATTGCCACGTCTGTTTCCAAAAATTATTTGGGTAGAAATATCATTTTTTACAGATTTAAGAGGCTACAGAACGTTAAGTATTGTCCGGAAGCAATATACATAGAAATAAATATACTAGTTATATCGCAGTTTGGGGAAGTCTAAAGAAATTAATTTTTCATGTGGGTTATCTCAGTAAAAAATTGAAGCTTCAAATAGTACTAAATTAACGTTTTCAGAGTTTTTTATTTAAATCTATCGATCTATTGATTTTGTTTTGTTCAGTCAAATTATGAGCTAAACATTACAAATGAAGATTTATATTAAGACAAGGTTTATATTCAATTAAACTATAGGGTGTTTTTCATTTATCTTTGTTCATAGTAAAATATATTAACTATTATGCAAGTGTAAACAAACAGTTCTATGCAAAAAGCCTTTCTACATCCCACTACCGTCAGATGTCGCATCCGTAAATGCGACACTTTGCAGTAATGTTTAAATTAAGAAAGGATATATATTATTAATGTCAATTACTTAAGTATTTGTTCTATCTGTATGTGTAACTTTAATTGCGAAACTGAAGAAAGGACCGAGTTTTATTTTAGTTTCTAAAATTGAATTAAAATGTCATGGAAGTTTGTTGATTATGGTTATTAAGAGCCAAAGTTGATTACAACTACAAATAGATTTATACAATACGTTTGTTTACTTAGGCCTTTTGAATCATAATGTCATCAACACTTCGGCAAATTACAATATAGAATAACATAATGAGGTACGCGAACGTGGTAAACTAACTGAATTTTCGTTGGAAATAAATCCTTTGAAAAAATAACTATACAACGTCACGAAATTGTATCTCATGTATGTCAGGCAATATCATATTTCAGTTAGATTAAAACATAAGAATATGTTCAACAACCAAGAGGAGATAGCCATATCAGACATTTTTATGTTGTGTATTGTGGTTGCTTTTTTGTTTTGTTGTTTGTTGAAGCTTCAAATGGTAACGTTCATACGTATATTTTATTATGGTTTTTCGCTCGCGGTCTGGATTGTACCGCATTATGAATTGCATTGACAATCATGTACTGAAGTGTTTTGCGTAAGGAATTATTTGATTTTGTCACTGTATTCTATTAACAATATTTGTTCTCTGAGAAGCGCCGTTTATTTGTCGTTTTGTAACGCTTTTACATCTATTTTAAAATCAGCCTGCCTGAAATATAAACATTTTTAAATAGTTGAGAACACAATTATATATCAACTAAAGCAGTTAGTGGTGAATACGACAACGTGAGAAAGGTTTACTGTTTATGGAGCTATCTTTTTTGTTTTTGTTGTTGTCGTTGAGCATCATTTTTACGTGTTTGAAATTGCAAATTTGATATATCACCTAAATATTACATTTTCGTAACGCATAGCAACGGCCGATAACTGCGATACTTGAAATGGATAAACAAAATGTGTTATATCATTCTGAAGTTGCTTATTTAAAAAAATCGTTATCGAGATGATATTTGAAATCGATGGTCGAAGTGGAAGTTGAATCAGTTACTTAGTTGATTGATGAAAAGAAGAAAACGCTAATTAGAATATTTCATCTCTCAGTTACCTCGTAAGTAGGATAAACATATTGTGTTTATTGTGGAATTAGGACCACAATAAATAGTTTTACAAACAAATATGCCACAATTTAGTGTTGTATAACTTTAGAAAAACACACCTCTCAAATATAATACAGTCATTCAAAGTCAAGCAGAAATCTGTTAGTTACGACTGAGAGACCATTTCCAGGAACACAACTTACTATAGAGTTTATTATGTGGAAGGTATAATTAACAGTGACTGATAACATCAATGATCGTACTTTATAAAGATGATTATGAGTTTAAAATTTTATGAATAAAACAGCTTTTCGGCGTGTCAGCGCTAACTTTTTTTGATTTACAACTCTAAAATCCGAGGTTCGATTCCTTGCGTTGGACATAACGCATTGAGAAGCTTTGTACTAAAAAAAAATCAAACAAACTGAATAAGACAAAATCGACATCTTTTGGTCGTCCGCATGAACGGACACTGTCCTCTAGCACGGTACATAATTTGTATTTGGAATATGAAAAGGTGCTAATTATATATATAATAGCTCCGATAGACGTTGCTTTTATTATGTTGAATATGTTTGTAGAAATTAGTGTTATATACAATTTTAATTGATCTGTGCGGTGTAAGATGATTATGTGTTAATTTCTTAAGTGGCCAAGAAGATAGGCCTTTTCGTCTGAAGTCTACACTCTTAACTCCTGCGCAGACCGCCTAACGACTGAGCAGTTATGCATTCTTATTCAGTGTATTATGTATCGGTGTAAATGAAATAATAAAAAACCTGGGAAACGTATTTTTTACATACTAAATAAAATGCACTGGTGTATACTATAAGTATGTTGGATGAAACTTTTGAACGTTTCTAAAATTAACAAGAAATCTACGTCCTGTTGTCTTTAAACGGTTTATTTTGTAGTTTTATGTAGTTTAAACAGCATAACTATATGTAGTAGTAATGTTAGGATTATTGTATTAGCTTCTGAATGCAAGTGTTGAATGTGTTCTTTGTCGCTTCGAGACTGTAGAGGTTTGAGTGAGTGTTAATTTGACAATGACCAGTCTTATAATATTGTTTGTTTCATGCGAATATTGGAAATAAATCAAAAACATGTTTTAACTTGACTTTATTCGTTTATTTTCCGTTATATTTTTATATTTCTGATAATTTATTTCAGGTCAGTGCAATTTTGTTTATATAAAACAAGTGTGTGTTCAAATTAAATGTTGTTAAAACGTCACTTGAGGTTACCATCAACATTAAAATGCAAACGACTGTATATATATAAATATTCACGTCACACAGTACTATTGTTGAAATTTAAACCTGCAATAAGGACTTCTACTTTAATATATGGTGGGTCAGACTTAAAACGTAAAAATCAAAGGGTTTGATTCAGTGTTCAGATAATCAGTTATGTAGTTTTTCACAACATAAAGTATTTTTCTACATAATGTTCCACCTTCTAGTGAGGAAGAAGCCTGAATCTTGTGGTTTATTTTTTGGAATGCAAAATAAAAATATTTAAGAATTACTTTCATAAACTGAAAAAGTACATTCATTTTGAGTGTTAAAAAAATCGATGTTACAATATACATTTTTATGTTCTTTCAACATTTGATCACTAAAGTTTGAGCGGAAAACTTTATTACATATTTATCTAACATTACCCTTTTTTTAATGTGAACTGGTAGTTACCGTAATTAAATTTTTAATAAAATACGTCTTTTTAGTACATTCACTGAAGTTATTCAGGAAAAACGTAAACAATTTCAGAACCCCAAATATTAACCGTTACTATTACATATGTAAAGGATGATATGTAAGAAACTTCAGTAACCAACGGAGAATATTCAATAAATGTTTTACATTAAGAAATTCTACTTACAATCCTTCATCTGTCTTAAGTTCGATTTAAAAAAAACGCTGTTTTACGTTCGTCTTATCGAAAACTTTTATTACCATTAGACCAATAAATAAGGATGTGAATAAAACTATTACCAGACTTACTGTAATGTACATATGGTATTTTCAGATTTTCCTATTTCCCAGTAACTAATTGGTTAATAACGGGAGGCCCGCCAGAATATTTATTGCAGAGCAGAAATCTGACTTTCTCTTAATCTCGACTGAGTTTAAAGAAAAGTAAGAGGCTGTATAAGAGTTGTACACTGTAAAATAATCTTTATTTTTAACACAATTAAAGTTAAAGACAAGTGTAAAGTGTGGTGCTTTTACCGGAGCGAGATGTGACCTTAAGAAAAGTGTTCTGGTGAAATCTAAGTTAAGTTGAGTTCTTCGTTGGTTATAAATTTTACGTTAGTTATCTTAAATTGAGAAAGAATGGAAATAAAATCCGAAATAACAATGCTATTGTTCTGAGGACTCAACAGTCACTATAAATTCAAAACAAGGGATACCCTTAAAGCATTATCTGACTAACGAGAGGAAAATGTCGATTTCTATACAGTATGCTCGATGTTACAATATTCTTTCCTGTTGGCTCCCTTGGCCAATATTCTTTATTAAGAACACATTCTCCATATGAACAGAAATTCTAGACACAAGTTTTAAAATAAAGTTTAGGCAAATGTAATGAAAACACAAAGCGATTGGTTTTATTCTCTAAAAAAGAGAATTAAATATGGGTTACTTGAGCTACGGTGATAATAGCTTCAACGATTTAATTAATTATACTTCCTTCTCTAGCTGTTAGTGACCAAATTTAATTATGTAAGGTGGCGTGATATTGATTTCAACCCTCTACTTGATAACATAATATAATGTAATAATATACAAGATAAGACATTAAAAAGATACATGTATCTAACATTTCTTTGAGATGTAACACATATAAGCAGTTAAAGTGTAATAAGTTTAAAATGTTGAATGATCTATGAGAACATTTTGCTGGGTTTGATGAATCATTAAATACTATAGATGCTTTCTAGTAAGTGAGCAACAATCGATTTCAAATGACATAAGCCTCTGAAAGCTGTATTTTAAATGTGCATCAAAATATAGCTGTACAAAATATAGGGTATCGAGTAAAACAACACATGTTATTATATTATATTTTGCGAGACTTTATATACATACATAGCAGTTAATTCTGACAAGCCACTGTCAGTTGTATATTCACGCAGAGCCGAACTAAGCTTTTTGGGACAAATCGATGGAGTTGTATGTATTTTTATAAACTGTTTAAAATCGGTGGGTCCTTAAATATGGATTACTTGAGCTACGGTAATAATAGCCTCAACGATTTATTTAATTGTACTTCCTTCTCTAGCTGTTAGTGACCAAATTTAATAATGTAAGGTGGCACATTCTTCTTCACTTCTTAATACTGTTACTATTAATACGCTTTTAACAGTATTTATTAAAAGAAAAAATTAATAGAAAATAAAAATATGTGTAACATGGCAATGTTTAGTTACTGCTTGAATTTATCATCATGTTTTAATAAGAACATTAAAATGGCACGTATAAATTATTCCACCAAACTACACCTCTTAGAAAAGGTTTAAATTGTAGCTTAGTTGTATTCAAATATATACTTTTTGGTGAATTAAGAATCTTTTTGTGATGAGGTAGGTAAGACAACTGTTTACTTCTGTCGACATGAGACATTTCTCAAAAGTAGGATTCGACTCAACCCATGTAGAAATATTCCTCTTAAACCTTCCTTGACAACGGACAAAGCATTATTTTCAGCGATGCTTTTATTTATTGCAATAAATATGAGTACAATTTTTTTCGAATTAAAAAAAAGTAAGGTACCTCAAAGTGTCTATTGATCTTAACTCATTAGGAGAGGAAGTCTCAAGCCAGGATATCTAGGACCATAGAGTTCCTCAATGCAATCGATATTATTGAATAAGACATAAAAATGGTATCATTTCAATCAATTAGCGGATATTCATTTGGACTAATGACGGAGCTTGACCATAAAGTTTAGAAAGTTGCTTAAAACTATTTTATTATTGAATTTCACTTCTTCTTTTTCTTCGTACGACCTTAATCCCATTGTGGTGTGGGGTCAGCTGCTCGGATCTTCCTTCTCCATATATTACGGTCCTGCGTATTATTTCTAGTTGCATTGATCTCCATTATATCCTTGTCCACCACGTATTTTCACTGTATTCTATGTCTTTTTCTACTTCTTTGTCCTTCCACTAGCACTTCCAATGTTCTTCTCACTGCACATCCTTCTTCACTTCTTACTACTATTACGTATTAGAATTTCGAATAATCTGAAGCCGAGTTAAATAATTCAAATTTAGAAGTTAAATTATACTTTGGATTTAGTATTTAAATAAATGCCGATATATTTTCCAACAAGATTGATACACAAATAACACAAATAAGTTTTAACATACACACAACAGTACAATTTACAATAACAATTATTACAAAGAGTTACTACAAATAATGATTTATAAACAGAAGTTTCACAAACTTACAAACAATATAAAGTTTTACTTTCTTAGT